CTCTCACAGCCCGGCCACGCCCCCTCTGACTGTCTCCCTCAGCCTGGCCACGCCCCCTATGACTGTCTCCCTCAGCCTGGCCACGCCCCCTATGACTGTCTCTCTCAGCCCGGCCACGCCCCCTCTGACTGTCTCTCTCAGCCCGGCCACGCCCCCTCTGACTGTCTCCCTCAGCCTGGCCACGCCCCCTATGACTGTCTCCCTCAGCCTGGCCACGCCCCCTATGACTGTCTCTCTCAGCCCGGCCACGCCCCCTATGACTGTCTCTCTCAGCCCGGCCACGCCCCCTCTGACTGTCTCCCTCAGCCTGGCCACGCCCCCTATGACTGTCTCCCTCAGCCTGGCCACGCCCCCTATGACTGTCTCTCTCAGCCCGGCCACGCCCCCTATGACTGTCTCTCTCAGCCCGGCCACGCCCCCTCTGACTGTCTCCCTCGGCCTGGCCACGCCCCCTATGACTGTCTCTCTCAGCCCTGCCACGCCCCCTATGACTGTCTCTCTCAGCTTGGCTACGCCCCCTCTGACTGTCTCTCTCAGCCTGGCCACGCTCCCTATGACTGTCTCCCTTAGCCTGGCCACGCCCCCTCTGACTGTCTCCCTCAGCTTGGCTACGCCCCCTATGACTGTCTCCCTTAGCCTGGCCACGCCCCCTCTGACTGTCTCTCTCAGCCCGGCCACGCCCCCTCTGACTGTCTCCCTCAGCCTGGCCACGCCCCCTATGACTGTCTCTCTCAGCCCGGCCATGCCCCCTATGACTGTCTCCCTCAGCCTGGCCACGCCCCCTATGACTGTCTCTCTCAGCCCGGCCACGCCCCCTATGACTGTCTCNAGCCCGGCCATGCCCCCTATGACTGTCTCCCTCAGCCTGGCCACGCCCCCTATGACTGTCTCTCTCAGCCCGGCCACGCCCCCTATGACTGTCTCAGCCTGGCCACACCCCCTCTGACTGTCTCCCTCAGCCTGGCCACGCCCCCTATGACTGTCTCTCTCAGCCTGGCCTACGCCCCCTATGACTGTCTCAGCCTGGCCACACCCCCTCTGACTGTCTCCCTCAGCCTGGCCACTCCCCCTCAGGTCCACCCTCGCTGACCACCTAATGGGAGTGTGGAGCACGACACGGCAGCTGCGTTCACTCAGCCTGACTCCTTCGCAGTCTTGCATTATTATTATTTATTTCTGCAGCCCAGGCGGGTTGGATTTCGTTGAACGGTGACGCATCATGAGTCGCTCACCTGCAGCTCGGATGCGTTTGCCTGTGCCCACTTTGTCTTCGAACCTTGATTAAACGTAGCGTCTTCTGTCTGTCGTCCCCCCCCCCCAGTGTTGATCATCCCGCTTGTGGACCAGGACCAGGCGCTCGTCATCGCCGTCATCTTGGTGAGTGGCTTGTACCTCCGTTGCTATGGCTTCCAGAGTCCCTGGCCTCCCCACCCCCGACAGCAGCCTGAGAATGGAGACACCATCTTGGGAGGGAGTATCACCGTCCAACCAGGAGGTCACAATAGGGTGGAGAAGAAGGGCCTGACCCAGCATCTCCTGGACTGTTCATGTCTGCTGGTTTGACAAGGCTTAGAAGGTGCTAGAAGCAGTTATGGGAGGTTACCTGTCAGTCCCAGTGACCCAGTGGGAACCAGTGTAGTATCTAGAGGTTGCACGACTTCAGATTTTTTAAAGTTGACTGTTATGTCATGAAAGTCTAGTCGACGTCGACCGCTGATGACGTCATTAATAAAACCACGGGAGACCAACAATCTGTATTCATAAATGTTATTGCATATGCTGACTACAGACAGCTCATACGCATGTTTTATGAGCAACAGAAACAAGCAGAAACACCAACAGGTTGCAACTCAGCCGCAACAATTCATGCGACAATAACGCTGGTGTGCTGCAACTACCATTTAAGTGTGAAAACAGACTGAAATGTCGGTGTAACACTTGAGGAGGAAAACAAAACTCATGTAAAATCCAGCCTGCAAGCCTGCTAGCTCCTCCCTTTCCCACTGTAGTTCAGGAACTTCCTCCTCATCTTGCCCGGAGACTATTGTAGGTTCTGGCCACATTCCCACCACGCAACAGGAACTGTGACCTTTACGCTGAATACGCACGTGATTTCACATGGCGAGCCCCCCCAAAACAATGGGGGATAAACAAGTCATTTTGTTAATTGTTTGTTAGTTACTGGGGGGATCGATCGCTATCATAGCGGGACTCAGCCTTTGATTCATATTTTATTTATACGACCTGCGACATGTTTATAATTCATTATTAAATCTGGCCAGCAGGTCGATCTTTCTTTTTCCACGGAATAAAAATACGATATAATAAGCGCTGGCAAGTTTCACCTCCAGCACTGGCAATATTAGAGAAAAGTCGTTATTGGTCAAATTTTCCCATGCAGAAGTATAAAGGTGCAAGCGAAAGGTTATTCATTAATGCCTTAAATGTAACTGAGGTACAAAAACAATTGCATCTGCTCCGTTTTGGCTCTGCTGCTTCTGTGTCTTTTCCCCTCACTTCTGTGTAGCTGTTCTCTGATGCGCCCCTGTTGTTAGTATCATAATTACGCTTAAAGCATCATGACAGAGCAGTAAAATCCACTTGTCGACCAATTGATTAGTGTGTGCAACCCCTAGCAGCACCCAGAGGCATGTGAGGCTTTCCCAGCCTCCTGGTGTGGTAGAGGGAGGGGCACGGCCTCCAGCCGGGCCAGCTGACCCAAAAAAGGCGAGATTGGTCAGACTGTGGTGAGGTGGGGTGCGATAGCTGCAAGGAGGAGCCTGTGAGGAGTTTCGGAGGAGATTCATTTCAGGAGCAGCGAATGGGCTCCTTTGCTCCTGCCAGTGCAGAGCTTCCAGCCTCAGCCAATGGACACAGGCGACAAGAGACATTTCACATCGCACGCGGCTCTCTCTCGTGCCTTCTGCTCTGCCCCTTCCCCAGCCCCCCCCAGGCACAAACTCGCTCGCCTTCGCTCAGTGGACATAGGCGATGCTAATTACAGCCACGGCACAGAAACGGAAAGGGCACCCACCTGTTCCTTGCCCCAAACCTGTCACTGTTTAGTCAGAGCAGGACTAAACCCCCCGCGCTTCCAAACCGGCCTGGCGCTGGTGCCCCGTCTACACAGATGGCTGCATTTTTAAACAGGATCCTTACCTGTCATACACTTATATGGTGATCGCATGAACCGTGCTTTCATGAGGAAGAGGACACATTCAGTGGAAGTTTCATTCTTCCAAGCCTTTTAGGGATAGTTAGCTTGGTACCATCTCCAGTTACACAAAACATAAAATCTAACACCGGCAACAGAAAGACACAAAAGCAGTCTTACAAAAGTGCAGTGATGTCACAGCGTGATTTAGGCTCTCCCCCCTCGCAAGCTGTCCCCACCCCGCTCAGCTGCCAGCGCCCCCCTCTGCTCAGTCTGTTCCAAAGCAGTTTGCCATCTGGTCCCTGTTGAGGGAACTCATTGCAGAAACGCTCCTGGACGCCTTAAAAAACCCACACCTCCTCCATCATCTTGCCTGGGAACATACTGCATTATTACTTTTTTACTGGAAGACGGCAAATCTTAATGAACTCTCCGCTTCCCCTTCATCTTGTTATAAACGTCACTGCCCGTCCCTTGACGTGCTCCGCGTCTGACGTGTCGTCGGTGACGCCCGATAGCGGGCCAATCGCACCGCGTGCCACTAAAGACGCTGGCCACGAGACGGGGGCGCGGCCACGCCCTGCCGGGTGACACGTTCCAGCCGTTTATCTAATGCAGAAGTGCGCCGGCGCCCGTCATAGATGGGACCCCCCCCCGATGGGGCTCTGACAGAGACAGACGGGCCGCGCTGCGCAGAGAGAGAAGCCGCGCTGCTCTTTTTTTTCGGTCACATGGGAGGACTGGTGATTCTGGCCGGGAAGCTGCAGTGCCCCCTATCGGCCTGGAGGCCTTCTTCTGCCTGGCAACCGTGCATTACAGTCTACCACCAGCACACGCACGAACACACTACAACATACACATGCATATACACAGCTGGCCTCCTGGTGCAAACACTTACCTGTGGGGGCCGCACTCTGTGACCACCCGCCAAAATGGGAGAGTGCGGAGATCATCGTGACCGGGACACCCAAAGTGAACAGCAGCCGAGCTGCAGCTGGATCAGTCACGGGGGTGGGATGGAAGCGGAGGTAAAGCCCAGGGTTCGACAGTCGGCAGGACGCACTGTCAGCTAAATGTGCAACTAAACAAAAGGCTGCCAGACCTGGGGGAGTGAGTGCCCCCAACCCACAGGAGGTAGGAGGACAAACGGAGGGAGGCTGACTGTCTCACAATGGGAGGTGGGGGGGGGGCATACCCCACGATCTGCATGGGAGGGGGGGGAGTCTGAGTCAACTGCAGCTTTCCATTTCATTTGGGAATGCTGCTGGGTGACACTGCTATGTGCTGCTAAATGCACCTGCTTGTCCCAGCCAGTAGGGCTCATGTGGCCCAGTGCGAGCCGCGTATAGGCAGGTGTGACAGCCCAGTGTGGGCCCCCCCCCCCCCCCACCATGGTCAGAGTGGTTCAGCCCGGCAGAGACCATAGACGCCCCTTGCATCCCCCAG